CCTGTAGTCCCAGCTATTTGGTGGGCAGAGGTGGGAGGATGGCTTGAGCCCATGATTATGCCACTGCATTCTACCCTGGGTGGCAAAGTGAGATCCTTTCTCAAAAAATAAATAAATAAATAAATCTCACTAGAAACTAAGGAGGAAAATCTATATTGTATATCAATAGTTAAATGGAAGCAACATATATCAAAATAACAAAGGCCACTCGAAGTGGCTCCCACCTGTAATACCAGGGCTTTAGGACACCCCAGGTGGAAGGATTGCAGCCGGGTCAACACAGTGAGACCCCATCTCTTCATGAAAAAAAAATAGCCTGGTGTACTGGCTTGCCTGTAGTCCTAGCTGCTTCAGAGACTGAGGCAGGAGGATTGCTGAGCCCAGGAGTTCTAAGCAGCAATGAGCTTTGATAGTGCCATTGCACTCCAGCTGGAGTGACAGAGCAAGACTTTGTTTTTTAAAAACAAAACAAACCAAACTATATGAGAACTGATGTGTATTTTATAAGAATTTTTAAACAATTGTGAAAGAAGGAAGAAACTAGAAAATTCGCCCAGAGAAAGACCGAGCATGTAGAGATCTGAAAGCTGTAAGGAAAAGAATAGATTAAAATAGCTCAAGCAGTTTTGAACCAGTAGGTTATATCATCCTGGTGGTACTGACATGTTTATCACCCTGTGAAATACATTGAGTGTCAGGAAAAGATGCCTCATTTATCTAAAACTAGCTTTGATAAATGTAGGATTATTTTATAGTTCAGTTTTCTTAAGTGATAAGAAAGAGAGGCTCACTTGTAACACAGTGTAGCATGGAAGCCAGGAATGCTGAATGTTCTGCAGTGCTCAAGGAAACTCCACTAAGAAAAGGTCCCACGTGTTAATGGTGCTGAGACTGAGAAACCCTAATCTAATACACAGAATAAAGAGTTGAGAATAAAATTTTCTTTGTATTTAACAACCATCCGTGATTCTCAAATTACATACAGTAAAGAACAATGTTTTTGTTTTAATTTCCAATCCCTTATGGACCAATAACTTTTGTAAAATACACTGAAAATTTCATGGCAGTATCAAATTGCTATATACCAAACATTCCATTTCTGTACTTCTTGCTTCATTTTTATGCCCTTGTAAACAAACAAAAGATTTCTGTACTTCTTGCATATGGGTAGCAAATAATTTGTAGATTAGCACCAATCTGTGGACATTTTGAATAGCACTATTTAGAGCTTTTGTCTCTGAATATTCTGTAATAAACTTACATGATTTTTGAAATTAGGGAAAAGTTTAAAAACATTCATTGAGTATTTATGACATTTGGCAATAGGTAGTTGACTGGTGAAAAACAAATGCAAAATTTGTTAAAACTTATAAAATTAAAATATTTGCTTTTTGGTTTTGTTTTTATGTCAGAATACCTATGGAACATGTGTAGATAGGACAAAGTTGATAAGTCATTTGCTAGCATTTGCCTACTCACCATACCATACCCCAGGCTGATGGCTTCTTATGGAAGTACATCTTCCTGTGGATCCCAGACACTGCCTCAGAATCCTCCTTAACATAGTACTTAAAGAAGTCCTATCACTTTAAGGCAGTTGGTGTCAGATATGAAAGTTATCATCCTAAACTATGTTCTGAGAGTCTTTTGTATATAATACTGTCTTTATCTTAACCTTATGTTCTTTTAATGTTTTTTTCAAACAATTCTTCTGATTTATCAAAGTAATTAAAAATCTCAAACCAAAACTTTTCATGTGCTGGTTTCTTGTCTCAAGTATGCTATTCAAAATCTTAATTATGGTAAAAGAAATTTATATCTTCCTTTTATTGCTGTACTGTGTTGAGAATGTGTCTTGGGCCAGGTGCGGTGGCTCACGCCTGTAATCCCCAGCACTTTGGGAGGCCGAGGCAGGTGGATCACCTGAGGTTAGGAGTTCGAGACCAGCCTGGCTGACATGGTAAAACCCCGTCTCTACTTAAAAAACGCAAAACTTAGCCAGGAGCGGTGGTGCGCCCCTGTAATCCCAGCTACTTGGGAGGCTCAGGTGGGAGAATTGCTTGTACCCAGGAGGCAGAGGCTGTAGTGAGCCGAGGTTACACCACTGCACTCTAGCTTGGGCAACAGAGCGAGACCCCCTCTCAAAAAAAAAAAGAATGTATTTTAAACTGAAGGGAGACCCCCCACCTCAAAAAAAAAATGTACCTTAAACTTAACAGCACAGAATGTAACTTACTGTTTTCACTTACAGTAAGAACAATCACTGATTTAGGGAAGAAAGAAGATCAAGTGACTATAAAGGTATACCTAGGTCACGTTTGTCGAAAGTAAAGTCTTTGAAGAACTATGACCTGTTTTGTTTGTTTGTTTTGTTTTGTTTTGTTTTTTTGGAGACGGAGTCTTGCTCTGTCGCCCAGGCTGGAGTGCAATGGCACAATCTCAGCTCACTGCAACCTCCGCCTCCCAGGTTCAAGCAACTCTCCTACCTCCTACCAAGTAGCTGGGACTAGAGGTGTGCACCACCACGCCCAGCTAATTTTTGTATTTTTAGTAGAGACAGGGTTTCACCATGTTGGCCTGGATGGTCTCAGTCTCTTGACCTCGTGATCCACCAGCCTCAGCCTTCCAAAGTGATGGAATTACAGGTATGAGCCACTGCACCCAGCCGTGATCTGTTTTTATATAACTTTTTAGTTTCTTTCATTCATTTCACGAATATTTGTTAACCACCATCTATGTGCCAGGCACCATTCTATATGATGAAGATTCATCAGAACAAAACAGATAAAATTTTTTGCCCCTGTTCAGAGATTACATGGATTTTTTTTTAAACAGCCTAAAAGACTCATTAAGGTGTCTAGACTTAACAGCACAGAATTAATATGTCACATGGATTTTCTTTGTGGCAGCATTAATATTATGAGGTGTGAAATTAAACCGTGAGGTGGTGCTAGATGTGTACTGAAGTAAGAGTCACAAAATTGAACTACTTTTCCAGACTGCTTCCTATTTATTTGAAGTTCAAGCCTATGTTACCATGTAGGAATGTAGCCAGTATAAAATATTAAAAGGAATACAAAAACACTATGAAAAATATAAATTACCATATATAATCAAACTTTTGTTTTTTGTCAGAAACCCTAATGATGAAAAATATAGATCTATCCGGATTGGAAACACAGCTTTTTCTACTAGACTCTTGCCTGTCAGAGGAGCTGTTGAATGTTTATTTGAAATGGGCTTTGAAGAGGTAAGTATGTTCGAGGATTTCCTCTCCCCTCTTCACGCACAAAGCAGTCGGTATCATGTTGGTGAATAATTGTTTGAATAAGATAATGTTTTTTAATTTATCATTTTGGGAATCAGTAGAAATAGTTGTTTCTTCACTGATTGGACATTTAAAAATCACAGCAAGTATAGTTTAAAATTTCAGTAAAGTATAACAACGCTCCACAGAGAAATTCTTACGAGTCTTAATTCTTGAGAATAAGGGAGGGTCAAACATGCAACCCCAGGACCAAATGTGGTTCACTTTAGGCTTTTAGCAAAAACCTGATTTGTGAGCACACGTGAATACTAATAGATCTAGCTACCTGTCTCTAGTAGGAAATGAAAAGACTCTGAAGTAAACAGAAAAACTGAGTTCAGTTGCCACACAGAAGGGGTTTCTTCTGTGACAGGAGAGGAGTCTCAGTATGTTTTTTTGTTTACTTCAAACGAATATTTTGGTGTTACCTTTTGGAATCTTGTGGTGTAGTTTAATTTTATGACACATTGAAAGTAGTTATTAAGATTCTGAATTTTCTTTATGTTTATATCCTTAACTAGTTCTCCTTTGTAGAGTGTTGAAAGAATTTGAACAGGTTACAGAGACTCAGTAGTCAGTAGTAGTTAGAATAGGCAATCGTAGAAATTGTTAAAGAGAGATGCTGGGCCGGGCACGGTGGCTCAAGCCTGTAATCCCAGCACTTTGGGAGGCCGAGGCGGGTGGATCACGAGGTCAGGAGATCGAGACCATCCTGGCTAACATGGTGAAACCCCGTCTCTACTAAAAAAATACAAAAAAAAAAAAAAAACTAGCCGGGCGTGGTGGCGGGCGCCTGTAGTCCCAGCTACTTGGAGGCTGAGGCAGGAGAATGGCGTGAACCTGGGAGGCGGAGCTTGCAGTGAGCCGAGATCGCGCCACTGCACTCCAGTCTGGGTGACACAGCGCGAGACTCCGTCTCAAAAAAAAAAAAAAAAAAAAAAAGAGAGATGCTGAGCTGCAAGGGAAAGGAAGGAATCAGGGACGTATCTATGTGCCTCTCTGCTTCCCTCGCCAGGTTCCATTTCAGTCCCTGAAGTAACAGTAGTGAACAAAGTAGTAGATATAGTCCCATCTCACGTGGAGCTTACATTTCTAATAGTTTAAACAGCCAGTAGATGTGAAAACAAGATGAGTGCAAAGAAGAAAATAAGACCAGGTAATAGAATAAAAAGTACTTTGCATGGCAGATAGTGGTCAGGGAAGGCCTCTCTGAGGAGATGACATTTGAGCTGTGACTTGAAAGATCTCAGGTACCTGAAACTCTCAAGTAAGAGTATTTCAGACAGAAGGATTAATGTGTGTAAAGGATTTCCTGCAGGAGTAACCGTGAAACAGAAATAAGCTGCATAGGGAGGCAGAGACCAGGACACGTGGGGTCTTGAGGACTGTGGCAAAAGACTTAGACTTTATTCTAAGTGAGATGAGAAGCCATTGGGAATTTTTTTTTTTTTTTTTTTTTTGAGATGGAGTTTCGCTCTTGTTGCCCAGACTGCAGTGCAATGATGCAATCTCGGCTCACCATAACCTCCGCCTCATGCGTTCAAGCGATTCTCCTGCCTCAGCCTCCCAAGTAGCTGGGATTATAGGCATATGCCACCAAGCCTGGCTAATTTTGTATTTTTAGTAGAGATGGGGTTTCTCCATGTTGGTCAGGTTGGTCTCGAACTCCTGACCTCAGATGATCTGCCCGCCTTGGCCTCCCAAAGTGCTGGGATTACAGGCGTGAGCCACCGTGCCCAGTCTGGAAAGTTTTAAGTAGGGAAAAATATTTTTGAAGATTATTCCAGCTTGCTGTAAAGAGAATTCTTGGAGGTGGTGGGATGGGGACAAGGGATGAAGCAGGGAGACCAGTTAGAAAGCTTATTATGTTAGTCTAAATAAGAAATGGTAGTGGTTTGTGTAAGGTCCATGAAGGCAGGGCTTTTTGTCATTTCTGTTCCTTGTGTTGCTAGCTCCTGGAATAATGCTGGTACCTTAGAAATGTTAGGCATTCAATAAAGATTTGTTGAATTAAGTACTGATGGTGGAGATGGAGAGAAGTAGATGGATCCAGGATTTCTTTTTGTGGCAGAATCAACAGGACTTGCTGGTGATTTAGATGTAAGATATAAGGGAAAGGAAGGAATCAGGGACGTATCTATGTTTTGGTTTAAGCAGCTAATTGGATGGGAGTATCATTATTTGAGATAGAGAAGCGTTGGAGGGTAGCAGGTTTTAAGGGAGAAACCACCACCTGTCTTTGGACAATTGTGACTAATTTGCTGTCAAATATTCAAGTAGAGATGTCAAGCAGTTGGATAGATGAGTTTACAACCCCAAAGGAGAGACTAGGCTGGGGATATAAATTATGGTGTCATCTGATTGTAGATGATACACAGGCATCTTAACATAAAGAATTTAAAATTCCTTGTTCAAGGAAGTGCCAGTTTTCAAGATTCAAATTGGTTGGGAAAATTGAGTAAATGACAACTGAAGGCTCTACCCATTTCTCATGTTGAAGTGTCACATATTTAATAGAATTAGATTTGTTTTTCATTCAGCAAATATTTGAGTGCTGAGTAGGATAGCCAGCCATTCCAGTTTGCTCAGTGCTGTCCTGGTTTTAGCAGTGAAAGTCCCACATCCCAGAAAACCCCTCAGTCTCAGGCAAACCAGTGTTGGTCACTCCAGTGCCAAATAACAGGCCACACTGAGACTTGCAGTAGTATTTGATGCAAATGGAGTCACAATTTCAGAAAAGATTAACAGGTTTTGATATGACTAATTTATACTTAAAGTTTCTGTTTGGCTTTAGACATCGCACCTCAGGACTTGTCTGAAGTAAATGTTTTATCAGCGTGGCTAAGTTTAGGAAGAACTAATAGTGCTGAAACTGAACTCTACCACCAAAAAGAAATTTGGTGGGCTTTTTAAAGAATAATTATATGGATACATAATAGTTGTACATTATGGGGTGCAGGTGATATTTTGATGCAAGCATACAAATGTGTAATGATCAAATCTGAGTAAGTGGAATATCCATGATCTGAAGCATTTATCATCTCTTTGTGTTAGAAATATTCAAAATTCTGTCTTCTAGCTATTTTGAAATATACAATGAATTGTTCTTAACCATAGTCACCCTATTGTGCTGTAGAACATGAGAAATTATTCGTCCTATTTAACTATAATTTTGTACCCATTAACCAATCTCTTTCTATTGTCCAGTCCCTTCTATCCCTCCAAGCCTCTGGTAACTGCCATTCCACTCTTCTTTATTTTTTTAAATTTGTATTTAATTTTGTAATATATTTTTACAATCACTCTTTTCTTCTATGGGATCAATTGTTTTAGCTCCCACATATGAGTGAGAACATGTGGTATTTGTCTTTCTGAATCTGGCTTACTTAACATAAGGTCCATCCATTTCCATCCATGTTGATGAAAATGACAGGATTTTGTTCTTTTTTATGGTGGAATAATATTCCATTGTGTATATATACCACATATTCTTTATCCATTTATCTGTTGATGGACAATTAGGTTAATTCCATATCTTGGCTATTGTGAATAGTGCTGCAGTAAACGTAGGAATGCAGATATCTCCTCAATATGCTGATTTTGGAAACTGGTGGATAGGAGACAGGACTAACTTGCAGCTTCCAATTGGACTGACAGAACGGTGCCTGGAAACTCACATCGTGAACTTTTGCTCTGAGAATTACCACAGGAACATTCCAGGAAAACCAAAAGAATTCACAGATCCTTTGAAAAAAGTAGCTTGCTGCTGCAAATTCCATGAGACAGAGGAAAATCTGTGAGTGCCTGAAGTGTGAGAGGAGGAAAGTCCACTGGGGAACCTGAAAATCCAGATCATGGGAGAAAGGTTTAACTTTACCTAGAGCTGAAATGAATTAAGAGAGCTGAGGAAAATACAAAAGTAGAACAAGTGGCGAGAAGAGCCTGCAGACACTCCTGGCCACTAAGGAGGCCATTTCTGACTTTATCTCACAGGGGTCCTTGGGGAGGGCTGCCAGTGGAATTGGGGAAAGACCACAGGGAGAATGAAACTTGCAGCTGAACACGAATTTTCCTGGACTGGGGAATATAGGGGAGGCGTCAAAGAGGAAATGCAGATACAAGCACAGAAGCCAAGGCAGACGGAGAGGGGTGAAGCCTGAAAGCCCTGATTGCTTTCTCAGTGGGGAGACTTGTAGCCTGGGGCAAAATCTCAGCGCTGCGCACACTGCCTGGATATAAACATGGTGCTATGGGTGGCTCATGGTGGGAGTGAGACTGGCCCTTCTGGCTGCGTGGGAGCGCGGTAAGGCCTGTTATTGCTGGCTTTCCCTCACTTCCCTGGTAACCTGTATGACGCAGCAGAGACAGCCATAATCTCCCTGGGAACATAACTCCATTGGCCTGAGAACCACACCCCCATCCCCCACAGCGGCCACAACAAGCCCAACCCAAAGAGAGTCTGATCTCAGACACGCCTAACCCTGCCTTCATCTGATGGTCTTTCTCAACCCATCCTAGTAACTGAAGAGAAAAGACATAATCTCTTGGGAACTCTATGGCCCTGCCCACCGCCTGAGAAACCCAAATGCTTATCCAGGCAACCCTAGGGCAAGCTTATATCCTCTTGATACTACCGTAGCTGATGCTGTCTTGAAAGCATCACCTCCTGGCTGAGCATCACTTCCTTTCCAAGAAAGGAAAAAACAACAGCTGATTCCACCACCTGTAACATCCTGGCTAACCAGAGGTCCTGAGTCTGACCACATGACAGCTTTACTGCCAGCACACCTGGAATTTGAGAAAACCAACACGCTAAACAAAACTACAACCAAGGTCCCACACAGAGTCCACTTCACTCCCCTGCCACCTCCATCAGAGTAGGAACTGATGTCTATGACTGAGACTTGAAGACAGATCACATCATAGGACTCTTTGCAGACACT